TGATAAGAGATTCGGTAAGAGAGACAGGGAAGGAGCAAATGATCATAACAGAGTATCCAGTATCAATGAACTTAATCGTAACCAATTTACCAGATGTCTTAGAAAGGATATCAGTAATATCTTTTAACATCCTCTCATCAGGCCTCCAGTCAAATACATAGGTAACTGTTTCACATTGAAGTGAAGGATTAGCTTCAAACTTCTCCTTCAAGCAGAGAGTGACAGATGTAGACTGACAGAATTCCTTAAACTTCTCCTCATACTCTTCAATGTATCTCTCAGCTTCAGTGACTCTGAACTCCTCAACAATCGCAGAAATAAGACTGGTATCAATCAGAGAGGATTCTTTCTTTTTAATCACATGGAGCACACTAGCTACATCAGAAGACTTCTCTAGCTCCTCTTCAATATCACTCCTACAGCTTATGGTGAAGTCTTTTAGTTCATTAAGATTAACTGCTGAATGATTTCTGATAGTTTTACAAACATTATACATCATTACACCACGAGATGTTCTTATTGATGAAAATTCTTTACTCATACTCTTACAAACAGGAATCTCAACTAAAGTAACAAAAGGCAATCAATTATGAAAATAAAATTAATTCTAAGCACACTTGAATTTTGAACTCATTGCTCATGCAGTGCTTGATGAGTAGTACTATACATAATTTTAAGCTAAATTTGTAAATAATTATAAATACCAGAGGATGCTGAATCAGTAGATGATGCTGTTCCAGTACTTAAAACATCTAATAATAAAATATAATCTATTATGTTTTTAATAATCAATTTTTTACTTTCTTCAACTTTAAACTCCTCGCTGCTTGAAAACCATCTTTCTATAGGAAAGAAATGAATCATAATCAGAATCATTATCTAATTTTCATTGTGGTTAATGTACACATAATTTACAATGAATAAACTATGGGTGGCATATCAATAGCACAAAATTTTGGTGGCATTAATATTGGGATCCATAGAACTTTGCCAGTTTTTCACTGACTACTATTTATATGGTATACAGAGTTTTTTATAGGGCTTTGGTATAATGTTCATGCAGGTCCTTGTCAGTGGATGTATTTTTAAGAATTTTTTATTCTTATAATTTTTTTCTGATGCATTTATGACTAGGAAAAAATTCTTCATTTTTATAAATTTTTCTGATGCATATACATGTTCTTGTGTTGTTTAGCAAGTTTGAAATTATTCCAATCAAATTACATTTGTTACTAACTTTAAATGCAGCTTAAAAATTGGACCAAAGTCCCTATGCTATAGCACAGGCCTGGTCTTTGGTCAAAAATGACAAGAAAAAATTCTTCATTCTTATAATTGTTTAAGCTGATTCTGATCAAAATTAATTTTTTATAAATTTTTAAACTTGTCTTAAAGCCATGTAATAGTACATGCTTGTCAGCTCATGAAGCTCATGCTGTTTAGCTAACTTACTTAGCATGCTTTGTGGGAACAAATAATGAACTTACCATAGTCTGTGCACATTGCTTCTCCTAGTAGTTTATTAGAAGTGGATTTGCAAAGCACAATAGCAAATGTTTGCAGGACCTTATAATTCAACTGTATAACTTCTTTAAGAGCATCTAACAATGCTTCACGTTGCTTAGGAATAAATGGACTACATGATTCAACACTAGCCACTGCTGGTCTTGCTAGCACACGCTCTCCATACAGCATCTGTGCTACACTGACTGGATCACACAGAGATTGTGACAGGTCATGACAATGATCATCAAAAATAAAAATTGCCATAACATTAGGTCCTACTTAGAATATAAAATATATATGAAATTAGTGATTGTTAGTAACTTACTCTCTTGATCTAACTTGTCAGCTGCAGCATTCTCATTCATAAATTTAAGAGCATCTGACAGTGAGTCAAAGGTAGCTCCTCCTTTACTGTCAACAGCATCAGCTCTACGTAACCAATTGGATAGACATTCTATCACACAGCGAGATATATCACCAGGATGGTTCCTTTCAATGGTGTCCAGTGTGCCCTTGAGTAGTCCTAGTCTCAGCCCTAGTTCTTGCCATTTTGTCTGAGGAAAACCACTTCTCTTCATTAAAACAATGACATCATCCAGTTTATCTAAATATTAATGTAGCAAAATACATCGTGTGTTGTGCCTCTGAGACTTACCAATAGTCAACAGAAAAGAGGAAACAAAAGTGAGCTTGCTTGCCATCTTTAGTCTATCTATGCATCTTCCAGCGCAAGCAGCCCC